TTTCCATGATTAGGGCTGAAACGGATGCGCCGCGAAGTTGTTCCGCGCTTTTTACCGGTGGTTTAAAAACGTTCGAAAATCTAAAAATAGCACACTGCGCCTCGATGTAAATCCGTTAAGTCGGGCGTAGTAACGCCTCGGCTTAACCGACGTTATGCATGATGTGTAAGAGGAGGGCGCTGCTAAGCCCGACGTAGTGTGTTACGCCTGACGTTAGCTACGCCCGACATGTGCATACGGCCACTGGATGTGAAAGCTAAGGCTGACATTAGTAAACCCAGCAAATCTCAGGCCCACTAAAGAAAACTTTCCCACTGTGCAGAAAAATGCAGAAGAGCCCACATTAATCGTGGAAATAGCAACATAAACATAATACCTCGCTACTGAAACAGTAAAAACAGCAACTTCATATCGCTAAAACTACATAAAAAAACGAAGAGCCTGCAACTTCGATTTTGCGCATGCACACATGGAAGAGGAAGGCTCGATCGCATGTTGACATTTTCCAGCTTGGACAAAAGTTACATTCCCTTTTTAAGTATTTCTGTTGTGTTATTTGGCATATCATCATGATACTTGTGTGCACACTTGTTTGTATGAAATGACTGACAGCAATTATTTCGACATATTTAATACTTTCTCGACGTGAGGCGATTCATGGTTGCTCGGAAATTGGAAAGAAGCCCGGATCGTAATGCACATGTGCAGTGGAGGCCAAAGTTCGCTGATATAAAAATGTTGCAGTTTCATAGTTTTTCGCTGCCGATTTACTGTATCAGTAGCGAGGTATTATGTTTATGTTGCTATTTCCACGATTAATGTGGGCTTAACTGCACAGTGGGAAAATTTTCTTTGGTTTGCCTGAAATCTGGCCGTTGTAACAGTAATTGCCACAGGAGGGATGCATTGATTCGGTGAGCCACCACTGAATGTACTGGGAAATGAATGCCGCACTAAAACTAGATCGCTCTCTCGCTATAACACTGCCTGTCTCGTGCTTCACTGCTATTTGTTGTTTTGTTGTTTCGCAAAATGTAGAAGTCCCCTGTAGATATGGTGCGCAGGCATAGCACATAGTCGAATATGTGGTCAAAACTCCATACACACAAATACTCAATGTCATATACAGTGGATAACTATACTGAGTCAAAAAAGAAACTTCACATTCTTTCTTCAGGGCACAATAAAAGAACGAGAGATGGTAAGATGGTTAAATTGTTATTATTTCATTGCTGAGATCTGTGTGATGTACTCGATACACTGACAGTGCCATAATCAGTTACATTAGGCTACACCGCCGTTCCAAAACATGGGTATACAGAATGTCAAGTCACAAGAATAAAAATGCGAAATTTCTCAGTTCAATATCGTGTATGGCCGCCCCGCACATTCACCACTGCCAAACACCATCTCCTCATCGACTGCCTGATGCTTGTGAACACGTGGTTGGGGATTCTGAGCCATTGCTCTTGCAAGGCAGCAGCGCCAGTTCCTGCAAATTCTGAGGTTGGCTCCTAAGACCACGAAGCCTTCTCCCAAGTGCATCCCAAACGCGTGCTCTATTGGATTAAGGTCAGGGGACCTCGATGGCCAGTCCATGACGTTGATTCCAGCGCTTTTGAAGGAAATTTCGTCAACATCGCGGTATCGCGGCGAAAGCATTATCATGCTGGAACTGTAAACCTGGGCCATGAGCCGCCATGAAAGGAACGAGTTCAGGGTGAGCACCTGGTCGCGGTAAGCAGCAGCTGTGAGGTTTCCACGGATGACAAGAAGTCGGAACGGTTGTTCCCACAGAAAGCACCCCACACTATGCAACTTCTGCCCCGAATCTGTCGACTTCCTGTACACAACATTGGGCATACCGTTCACGCGGCGTCGTCTCCAGACTCTATGCCTGCAGTCCAGCGAATCTGAGGGTAAACCTGGATTCATCACTAAAGACTTACTTCGATTCCAGTCTCTCTGGGTCTATCGGAGGTGACGTTGGGCCCACAACAGACGTTGACGTTGATGAAACGGCGTCAATATTGGCTCACGATATGGACGTCGAGAATGGAGATTGGCAGCCTGCAACCGATTTCGAATGGTCTGTGAGGACAGTCGACCTCTAAACATCTCAGCCCTGGTTCCTGTAGCCGGCAGAAATCTGTCATGTAGGTGACATAGGACGATTTGACGATCTTCTGCTCGTGACGTCACACGTGGATGACACGACCTTGGGCGATCAGAAGTGGTGCCAGTCTGTTGTAGACAACCTTGCAAGTCATACACAGTACGACGGCTGCATCCCATTGCTCTTGTGACGTCAATAACTGATCTTCCCGCTTGCAACATGCCAACGGCACGTTCACGTTGCACATTTGACAATCGTGGCATTTCAAGTACCGTTAGAACTGTGGTTTAAAAGGGTTTTTTTAATTCGTGAGGCCAATGCAAACACGTGCATATGAAGAAAACTTCGATGCGAAGATCACGTGATCGACTGCACGTACAAAACCTGATTTGGCACTAACGTCATTTGCACGACAAATGGATGGGTTTGAGTGGGTTTTGCTAACGTTTTTCTGGAGTCGAAAGATAGGGATCCCATTTCGGATACATAGATGTATCATCAGAGAAAAAATATTCATTATTTTTCAAATTACATTTTGTGAAGTTTCTTTTTTGACTCAGTATATATAGAAGCCAGCATGGCCATCTACCAAGCTGTCTCACTATAATGCTGCCTGGCTTGCGCCTCACTGCTCTCTTTAGTAATTCGCAGAATGCAGTAATTCCCTGTGGATGGTATAAATCTGGTGCGCAGTCATTGTATTCTGTCGAATAGTTGGAACTTCACACACACGAATATTTCATGTGTGATAATACAGTGAAACTATGTATAGTAACCAGTTTATTATATTCTTAAGGGTGAAATACTGTAAATATTGGTGAAAATAAAAATGGTATTTTCACTGAGTAGAATAACATGTTATTTCACTGTGTAGAATATCACTTTTGCCTGGAACTACAACTGGGTTGCGTAATAAAATGCAGACTTACTCGATGTCTCGATCATTTATAAACAATGATCAAAATATAATAAATAGAATATTTTGTTGATGTTGTCAAATAACATGTATATTTCATCTTGTGGTCTGACAAAGTTGATTGTTGGTGCGCCACATGTGAACATATCAACATTGTCAGACCTCGAGATGAAATATACATGTTATTTGACAATATTAACAAAATATCCTCTATATATTCTGTTGTTTTTTATAATTGGTAAGATGGGGTATTGTATTGCCTGGTGTTGCACATCATTGGACAATGGAAATAGAGACCACAGACGAGGTAAATAGTTTTGGCTTCAGTTCAATCAACATAACCGTTAGTCAACTTACTAGATGTTGTTCGTACATAACATGACAATTCTTTTGAATTAAACATAAATCCATTCTAATTTCAGCTGTATTTTATTTCAGTGCTACTTAATAGATTGTTGGTTAGTATGTACATAAATATAGCCCATTGTCCTACCACCATGCATGTCTTTAAATATTGTACATTGAGTTTCATATTTAGTGGCCTTAATGTCAGAAATGATCTGTTCTGTTCTGTTAACTTGCAGACCCTCTGTTCAAACTCCAACTGCAAGTGATGACCTCATTTTAGACATCTGAATGTTTTCCTCTTTTGTGAAATGCCTACACCAAATTTCTGGCAGGTCACCGAGTCCATGATTCTGGAATACGGACCAGAAATATATTCTATGTTATTTTAGGATGGTATACAAATGTTAGGTTACGTATTAGCAAATATATTGTCTTGCAATATATCATGATTCAGGTAGCTGCACTGTGATACTTATGACACATTGGGAGCTAAATTGTTTGACAGTGAATGACACTGATTGTGCCTGCAGGTCCGTTTTCCAACATACTCTGGCCCTAAAAATAGATGTTATGGTTCTGATAACAGCAATCTCCAAATCAGGTTGGATAGTTTGGGATTCTTTTTTCATTTTTGTACAATTTCTGACATATAAATTGTGCCAATTTGTCAATTAATAAGAAGAGAAACATCAGTTGGGAATGTCAGTCTCTGGAAGTTCCAAATTATACAAAATAGATAATAAAAACATTTCATACAGATTTTTTACCCAATATACCAGTTCCCATGAGATATATTGTTTGACAGGTGTATTGCAGTAAATATGTGTACTGTGAATACCCCGCAGTCTATGTTTCAAACTTTTCAACAAGAAAATGTTACTGGCAATTCTTGCAGATTTGTGTCTGAATATTACCTTCTGAGTGGGTGAGGTTAGTTTTATGCCGCACTCAGCAACACTAACTTCTGAGACATGGTGTTGATAAGCCCAATTACATGTTCCAGATGCCCATATTTAAAAAAATAGCCTATGTTAAGATTTATTTAGCATAGAGGGGAAATAATTTAGGCCTTTGTCTTTATTTACTAACCGTTATTTGGTAACCGATGTCACGATGCATGTCAGTTGTCATCGCTTCATACAACCTCCTACAGTAAACTACTCCGTAGCACCCCGTTTCTTGGTTTGCAGTTGCTTCATTCGCTAACATCACTGATGGAAACATTGCGTTTGTTTTTCGACGGATATAATGTCTCAGTTTGACTCACAATTAAGCAGCGACACAGCAACGTTCGCAATGTTTACATTCCCACAATGCATTTAAGTTGTAGAATGAATGAATTCACGTATTTGTTATGAATGAAAAAATAGTTACGTCAGAATGTTACCTAACTGAGAGGTCACTGGTTATCCAATCAAATCGTTAGAATCTCAAGTCAAGTCGTTACGACACAGGTCAACGCGATACGACACTCGTGTGACGTTCTAGATTAGTATGCAACTACCCATATTTGACCACGTGGGTAATAAATATATATGATGGTCATGTAAATAAATCTGTATTACTACTTGTGTCGTTCTGCCTGACCTTCATTGTCAAAACTATAAAAAATCAACTCACCCTGTAAGATACATCATCGAATTCACCATTCTTCAAAATAAACAAACATACAGAAATAATCTTGCTTTTTGTCTGATCTGTTTGTGTAGTCTTTTCTACTAGCCCATGAAAGTTCATGCTGAATGCGATGTATAATTTTGAAGTTGTTCACTGTCAAAGGAATGATTCAGGCATCTCTACTTTTAGTTCTTAACACAGTAGATCTATTCACATGGCGCCTCCGTGTCCAGATGAAACATGCAAAGTGAGAAGAGTAAACAAACACATTTCAACAGTAACGTTAACTGTAGTCTGTGTTCAACACAATATCTTTCTGCCTCCTTGTGTTACTATCAGCCAGTAGAGCTGTCCAATGTTCTTCTTCCACTTTTTTCACTGCGAATGTCCGTGTATTTCCACCTTGGCTTGAAATGTTTTGCACGATATCTTGAGTTGGAAACAAAGTTCCGATTAACATAAATGACCTATAAATTATCACTTCGAAGTCGTAGTCAAGTCGTATGGGGTACAAGTTGTTGACATCATATTTGATGTGCTCGGACGAAACGGGGTCTTGCTAAACCAGCTGGTTACCAAAACGGTGCCGCATATGATTGACAAAAACAGCCACACAAACAGTTAAAGGGGCACTGATCCAGAGCAATTTCGTAGACTGGTTACTGCTTTTGTTATTGTTTTTCTCCCGTGAGTACCCGGATGATATCCCAGAATTCATGACTGGTTCGTTACCTGTGCTGCGCCACCCTCATGCACAATTGATAGTATAAGTATAGACTGATCAACAAAGATGAAATCTTTTTTACTTGATAATATTTCCATCTTATGTTGTGAACACGCCGATGTTGCTCCATTGCTCACACGTAACATTGAAGCTATATTACACTATTTAAGTACAATTAAGAACTATAGTTCAGGGTACTTTATTACACAATATATGGAGGTAGAGGTAACTATGAGTGAGTGTGTGAGTTTAGTTTTACGCCGCACTCAGCAATATTCCAGCTATATATGGCGGCGATCTGTAAATAATCGAGTCTGGACCAGACAATCCAGTGATCAACAGCAGAAGCATCGATCTGCGCAATTTGGGACCGATGACATGTGTCAACCAAGTCAGCAAGCCTGACCACCTGATCCCGTTAGTCGCCTCTTACGACAAGCATGGGTTACTAAAGATCAATTCTAACCCGGACCTTCACGGGTCAGGGTTAACTGTATTTCTTTCCCAAGATGGCAAATATAATACTAACCAAAGCTTAATCTAAGGATAAAACTTACCGACAATTAATCTAAGAAACAAAACAAGTAAAAACACGATGTGAACACTGATCTTGATTACAATCCTCATTTTCACATTAATTCTTACTATTTTTAAGAATTATTCTGCAAAGATATTCGGAAATATTCAAATCGGTGTGTTGAGGATTGAATGTATATTTATATAGCACTTGCTCGCTGAACATTACGTATTTTAAGTCTGTGATATGTTATAGATAGATGATAATAAACGACCTTCCGTGTAATACCATTTTTATTAAACGAGTAAGATCTAATGATTTGGTATCAAACGAGCGAAAGCGAGTTTGATACTAAATCGTTCGCGAATTTGATAAAAATGGTTTTTCACGGAAGCGAGTCGAGTATTCTGTATTATTACCCACGTGGTCAACGTATGGGTAGTTGCATACTAATCTCGTACGTCACAAGAGTGTCGTATCGCGTTGACCTGTGTCGTAATGACTTGACCTGAGATTCTAACGATTTGATTGGATAACCGATGACCTCTCAGTTAGGTCACGTTGTGACAGAACTACTTTTTCATTTATAACAAACACGTGAATTCATTCATTCTACAACTTAGATGCATTCACACTCTGGAGCAGTGATGACTTAGCATAACATTACTATGTTGGCTGGCCGCATGGAACTCTGGGTAGGAGATTGAGATGCATTGTGGGAATGTAAACATTGCGAACGTTGCCGTGTCGCTGTTTAATTGTGAGTCGAACTGAGACCTTGTATCCGTCGAAAAACATAAACGTAATATTTCCACCAGTGATGTTAGCCGACACACTCCGGCACAGTGATGACTAACATAACATCACTGCCACAGGCTAATTTGCATATCACGTGACCGGACTTTTCTCTTGTTTGAAAACAAACGCGCACATTCATATAAGAAGAGACTGGACTCACGAAAGCTTTTCGGCGCTCTCTTCCTAACGTTTTACATTGGTACATATATATTCTTCCACAACTGCGACAGTGAGGTCTATGACAGTACATATTTAGATATCAAACTGGCTGCATCGTTTGCTCTCCATCAGCTTCACTGACAGCAGGCTGAGCCGTACAACCTATGTAAATAAAGGATCGCTACGCAAATCGAAATAGTGTTACACGTTTTTGGATATTTTCTCAGTGAAACTAAACCATTCCATTAAAGATGATTAGTTAGATGTGTAGACTCGTAAAAAATAAAAGAGCTAAGAAATCTGTACATTATATTGAATGGACATTGCAAGATGTGACGAATCGTCACATTTTTCTGGCCTGTGGCAGAGGTACTACGTAATGTTTCCACCAGTGATGCTTGCCGCACGGAGGAGAGTGGTTAGCCGAGTGAAGCAGTTGCAAACCAAGGGGTGCTACGGAGTAGTTTACTGTAGGAGGCTGTACGAGAGGCGATGATAACTGACATGCATCGTGACGTCGGTTACCAAGGGGGCAGACGAGAATGGCGTAGTGACGTCAATACAGTGTGACGTCAGCAAAAGTGTACTTCAGAACAAAATTCTTCCGCAACCTCTTTATGAAACCGGTTTCGGTTTAAAACCATAACAATAACAAAAATACGCTATTTTGTCAATTCAATGCATGTAAGACGTGGGTAATAATGTAGCAGTATGTTTGTAAATAGTATATTGTTAGATTTTAATCATCATCATAGTACACTTATATGAAGTAAATTAATAACCTAAACCTAAATATTTAATAACCTAAGCCTAGATATTTAAAATTCACTTTCCTTAAATACTTGTGTTAACTTCAGCACTTGCACAAATCTACTAACTCATAGGTAAGCTTGGATAGTTCAGCCTTTTCATTGTATATAGGTTCATGGGTATTGTCACTCGGGCAGTCACAGGCTTGGCCTGTTATTAGGGTTTTATTGTTCTCTGGGGCCACATGATTGTTTTAGTCATGTGGAGTGACTGCTTCAAACTTTTGCTGGTCAGTCAGCCTATTTCTCCTTTCTGCCAGTGAGCACATTCTTTGCACAAGATCACATAGGGTAAGTTCATTTATTACTGTATCCGGAATCTTAGGTTTGGTTATTATGTATTTTAAGCATTGTTATATATATATGTAGTATTTTAGCTAGTAGTGTATTATATTGTAAGGTAGGTTTAATTCAACTTACTTATGTATTCAACAGAGGTATATGCCAAGTGTATTTCATGGGATATACATGTATGTATGTACATTTTGTATGTGTAAACGGCTTAGAAGTATTCTATGTATCATGTATGTATGTATATTATTTTGGGAATGTATCATGTATTCTGTACATGCTAACGTAAGTGTACCATAACTATTATCCTATATTTATATAGTATATTTATTTGTGCAGGGCTTATCACTGCACATCGATCACTCATTCCAGCCTGCGTCCCTGAGACGAGGTAATATATTGATGTCCAATTGCATGTGCATGATCTTTATATAAAGTGTAATATGTTTTATCTAAAGGGATTTGTAAAGTATACAGAAATGAACTGTAAATCTTAAAAGTGTTATAAGTAATATCGTTATCTTGTGTCTATGTACTGCCATGATGTTTATGATTGAATTATGTATGTTTTAGGGCAGATCTGGACTTCCATTTGTCCAAATAAATCCCTCGAACCACTACAAGTACTCCCTTGTTTCTTGAGATGACATGGGTACCGCTGTTACAATAATAAAATACCACACTCGGTCTCATTACTTACGAATTATACGAAACTCGTGTCCTTCCTATGGTTTCTGACCTCGCTTTCGCTCGGTCAGATACCATAGGAAGGACACTCGTTTCGTATTTTCGCTCGGTCAGATACCATAGGAAGGACACTCGTTTCGTATAATTCGTAAGTAATGAGACCGAGTGTCCTCGCTTTCGCTCGGTCAGATACCATAGGAAGGACACTCGTTTCGTATTATTCGTATGTAATGAGACTGAGTGTAGTGTTCTCTATTTATTACCTACGAGGGCGAACATATCGGAGTTCACATTTTTCCTACGATGCCCCAGGGCAAAATATCACTTTGTCATGGTGACGTGACGTCATGAACAAGGCTATGACGTCACATTTTTTCTGTGACGTTGCGTTCTACATGCGGCGACGGCGGGTAGTCAGCCTTTGTTTGAAATGGATTTGGTTCTATTTTCCTCAATTTGACGACTTCGGTAATAAACAGAATATTATATTTGTGCCCATATCATACTGTACTCAGCAGCAAAAAATAAAACACGTCAGTACGAATTCAAAATGAGGTAGGCACTGTAATCAAATTATTTCAGATCAATATCTTGACACATCAGTAAATAACTCAGCAGAATTTCAAGACATTACGTGAATGGTTGCAGTCCATTCAGACTCTTGACTTCAGTATCTACTGTGACCACCACAAGCGGCAATATTTTTACTGCAACACAGCGTCTATGCATGGAGTGCACCAATCGATTTATGAAGGCCATTGGCACCTGGAACCACACTCTGAGAAAGGCCTGGCGAAAAGAAATCGGCAGTGTTCGGCCTTGGTATGGCATTATTCAGTCTCCTCTGAATTTCATCCCAAAGATGTTCAATTGGGTTTAAATCAGGACTAAGGACTGGCCACTGCATAATGTTGACACCGTTGTGCTGTAGGAAGTCCCGTGTAGCTCTGGCAGTATGGGCCCGGGCGTTATCATGCTGGAAAATGTTGTTCCGGTAACGTGCGAAATGTGGTATGACGTGGGGTCTGAGAGCTTGGTCGATGTAGCGCACCGCTGTGATGTCACCTCCTCTCCCTGGACCAAGGTTCTGGAAACCACAGGATCCACTCTCTGGTTCAGACCTATTCTACCCCATACCATGATGCTTGCACCTCCCCATGAGTCTCTTTCCATAACACAACACTGGCCACGTCGTCGCCATATTCTTGTTCTGTCATCTGCATCCGACTCTCATCTGTGAACAGAACAGTTCTCCATTGCCAGTATCGCCAGTTTTGGTGTTGTAGGGTAAACTGTAGATGTTCACGCCGATGGTATGCTCTACGACAATGGAGGTTCCTGCTGTTAAGACGTCGGCGTACTGTATCAGTACTGATTGGTCTTCCGTGTGTTCCCACTGTATGGCGTTCTGTTTCGGATGCCTGCATGAAGGGATTCTGTACATTCTGTCGCATAACATGGCGGTCTTGTCGTCTTGTGGTAACCCTTGGTCTGCCAATACGGGTGCGATCATTTGTGGTGTTGGTGGCCCGGAAACGATGCTGCAGCCTGTAGATGGTCTGAACGTTGACCTGGAAGTGATTGGCAACGCCTTGTGCAGTGTGGCCAGCTTCAAGTCTTCCTAGCGCCTGGTTCCTCTGAGCTGTCGCGAGTCGCGGCATCCTGCTGACGTTGTAATGTGAATGTTTCA